ACGACACCCACTCATGCCCGTGTCACCCATGTCTCCTTCCATGTCCATGACTCCCCATATCACTGTCCAAGGCCATGTCCCCTTCATCTCCTCTTGCATCCAGGTGTCCAAACAGAGCCAGGAAGATGTGGAGACCACCAGCCAGTGGATCGCCAGCACCATGGATCTCCAAGTCTCTGCCCAACGAGGACCACTGTGCATCATCCCATGGGGGTCCTCCAATGGGGGATGGAATTGGAGCAGCGCCCAAAGGTCCTCTCCCACACAAAGTACTTGTTGGGCTTCCCTTACTCCTGCCTCCGTTGCTGGTGGGTCACTGTAAAGGTCCAGGATACGCTCTTTCCACTCTTGGGACACTGTTAGGGACTCTCCCCAGCGTGGATCCACTGGGGGGTGACACAAGTGGAGATTTTCCTAAAGCCCCTCCCACACTCAGAGCTGCGCAAGCGCCTCTATTCTGTGTGAATCTGCTGATGCTTGAGGAGATGATATCTTCTCTGAAACCTCTTCCCACACTCTGAACACTCATAGTGCTTCTCCCCAGTGTGGATCCTCTGGTGAACAATCAGGCTGGATCTCTGGCTAAAGCTTTTCCCACATTCTGAGCACTTGTAGGGCCTCTCCCCAGTGTGGATCCTCTGGTGCACAATTAGGTTGGCGCTCTGGCTGAAGCATTTTCCACATTCCCCGCACTTGTAGGGCTTCTCCCCAGTGTGGATCCTCTGGTGGACAATAAGGTTGGCGCTCTGGCTGAATCTTTTCCCACATTCCCCACACTTGTATGGCTTCTCCCTGGTGTGGATCCTCTGGTGGACCATCAGCTTGAAGTTCTCCATGAAGCTCTTCCCACATTCTGAGCACGTGTAGGGGCTTTCCCCAGTGTGCATTGCCTGGTGCATGATCAGGCGAGTGCTGTCACGGAAGCCCTTCCCACATTCCCCACACACATAGGGTCGTATCCCCATGTGGATCATCTGGTGGCGATGCAGGTGGGAGCTGCTTGTGAAGCCTTTCTCACATTCTCCACATTTATAGGGCCGTTCCCCGGTGTGAATCCTCTGGTGGTGGATCAAACCGGAGCTCAGCCTGAAGCTCTTCCCACATTCCCCACACTCGTAGGGCCGTTCCCCACTGTGGATCCTCTGGTGGACGATCAGGTGGGAGCTGACGCTGAAGCTCTGTCCACATTCCCCACACTCGTAGGGCCGTTCCCCCGTGTGGACTCTCTGGTGGCACATCAGATCAGAGGTCTCCCTGAAGCTTTTCCCACATTCCCCACATGTGTAGGGCCGTTCCCCAGTGTGGATCTTCTGGTGGCGGTACAGGTGGGAGCTGATCCTGAACCTCTCCCCACATTCCCCACACTCGTAGGGCCTTTCCCCAGTGTGGATCTTCTGGTGGCAGACCAGGAGGGAATGCTTGGGGAAACTCTTCCCACATTCCAAGCACTTGTGGGGCTTTTTGCCATCACGGTCCTCTTTATGGACCACCACCTCAGAGCCCTGGCCAGATCTCTGGCTGCCTTCCCCACACAGGGTGGATCTTTCCTGCTCCGAGCACTCTGGGCTGGGTTTGCAGCCCCTCCTCCTGCAGGATCTCCGGGGCTTTTCCTCCCTGTTGGATTCCTGCGGTCTTGAGACGCTCAAAACTGCCTCTGCCGGGAGGTTTTGCCGTGGGGATTTGTCCTCCCTGCTCTCCATCCTCAGCTCCTTGTCTGGAGGAGGAAGGACAGGGAGAGGATGGGATTTGCCTCCCTGCCAGAGGGAAGGGCAAGGAGATCCCCCCAGTGCCTCCCCAGCAGGACAGCATCGGCAGCAGGGCTGTCCTGCAGCCGGGGGCCCTGCTGGGCTGGGAGATGGAGCAGGAGAGAGGGGGAAAGAGGCACTGCCTTCCTCCTCACCTGCCTGGGGGTCCCGGGGCAATTTCCGCTTCATCACAGCCTCCTCCTCTCTCCAGATAAGTCTTGGGAACGGGAAATCCTGCTTTGGGGGAGAAATAAGAACTGAGTGCACTGCCTTTGAAGGTCCCACTGGCCATGTCCATCCCTAGAAGTCACCAAATGTCTGATGGCCAGAAAATCCTCAAAAAATCAAGGAGGAAACAAAAAACCCTCTCCCAGGAGTTCCCTGTTTCCAGTGTCCTTACATTGGGCTTATGGGGGTCCCAATTCTTAGAGCTCCTGGGGGTTCTGTGGGTCCGGGGCATCTCCCGCCTGTCCTGGGTCCTGCTCAGCCATGCCGAGGGAGTTTTGGGCTGAGGGGCTTTGGGAGTCCCAGGGCTCATCCTCCCCTGATTCCAACGTGGCTCCCAGCTGTCCCTGGGCCCCCTTCTCCAGCATCCCCCCACTCCGCGCACTCACGCCTTCCCCCGCTCCCCGACAAGACTTTCAGGCTCCGCCCGCCCGCGCCCACTCATCCCCCGCCTCCACCACCCCTCCAGCCTGCCGCAGCCCCCCCGGCTCTGCTATCGCCCCTCTCCCCACGCCGGGGCTCCCGCCTTTCGTCCCCCGCCCCTCCCGCCCATCCCCAAAACCCATGGCCCGCCCGCCGCTCCGGCCCGAGCGCCACGTGGGCCCCGACAAATCCCCCCGGGGCCATTTACGGCTCAGCTCTGCACTCCGGCAACAGACAAAAACATCCCCTCCTCAGAGAAATTAAAACATTCCCCTCCCTGCGACACCGAAATACATCTGGGACATCACCGACATCTGGGACATGACTCCGCAATCGGCGGGGTCCAAACCTCACCAAACAAACCCCAACAAACCCCCCAAAAGAATCCCCTCCCGCAGCTGCCGCCACAGACTCGGGCCGAGCCTCCCCTCCCCGCTCACCTGCGGCACGCAGGGCAATGCGATGCTGCCGGGGCCAGCCGAGCTGCGGGCTCCGCGGGCTCGCCCTGCCACCCCGCAATGCTCCTTCCTTCCTCTGCTCCCCTCCTGCTGCTCCTCTTCCCGCTCCTCCTGCTCCTGCTCCTCCCCTTCCTCTCTGCCGCTGCCCTTCCTCCCGCTCCTCCTCCTCCGCTCCCGCCCCGGCCCCCCCTTTCGCTCCCCCTCTGCCCCACGGCCGCAGCAGCAGCGGCTCTCGGGCAGGGCGAGAAACCCCCCGGAGCCCCCGGCGATGGGCTCAGGATTCAAAGTATGCTTTTTAGGTAGTACACACGTTTGGAAGATTTTGGGAAGAAAGGGATTTACTCAATCCAAAAGAAAAGGGACTGGTACATGAGAGACTCATTGAAACTTCCTGAAGAGTTAGGTGTAGTACGCATTAAAGGATATCAAGGGGGAATGGTTTTAAACATAGAGGGAATAAGTTGGCAGATCAAAAGGTTAGAGATGCAGCAGAAAATGGGAGCAAAAGAGTTATGTTAATTCTGACTCCCGATCAGAAAGTATTGGAAATGTCAAAGTTTAGTGAAGTAGAATAAAAGGAATTACATAAAATAGGGGGAAAGCAAGATCCATGTGGGAAATGGAAACTTCCTGATGAGAGGCAGTTTCTTAATAAGTCGCTTAAGAGGAAAATATTCGAAGACATGCATCAAAAAACTCATTGGGGTTTGTGTTATCACTTTTATGAATGGGGTCCCATATGTTCAGTTTCATACAATAAAATACAATGAAGTGGTCACAAAGAGTTATTTTGGCAATGGTTCAGGTAAAGCATAAGCGAAACCGATCGGGATACGGGATACGGGGAGGGCTTCTCACCCTGCCACCCATTCAAAGGCACAACTTTTGTACTGTGTGCTAATACATATCCATCATTAGTTCCTGTAAATCTCCTCCCAGTTTTAATTCTGGAAATCCACATCACTCCACTGCACAGCACACTCTCCCATTGTTGCTTTGGGGTCTTCTGGTCTCTTTGGGGTCTTCTTGGAGCAAGGCTCGCTGTCCTCCTCGCTGTCCTCTGAGTGACCTGGCAGGTTGTGCATGCACATTGAGCTTGATGCATTATGTTCCAATTAAGCCTTATTATTTCATAGATAAGACCACTATTTTCACTTCCCTATCTGGAATGGTCCCGATTTTATTCATATTGAAGGTAAATCCTGCTCTGAGAGTTGTCTTTTAGCTTCAGTTGTTGCCAATTTTGGTTTGGGGGTCAGTTCCTGACTTCCTCCATCCCAAGGCCGAATCCAGCTCCTGCATCCTGCTTCCCACGTGTATTCTTGAAGAAACCCATCTGCTTTGTAACACTAATCACATCCACTTTTCCAATTATTTTCCCAAATTATTGATGTAATTACAACTTATTCAGCACAAATCACATCCATTTATCACACCACTTTTTAAGGAATTATGTGTAGATTGGAATTTTTGGATTGACAAAGTTAATAACTGGGAAATCTATAACTTGCCAAAAAGTAAATAAAAAGGTAATGAGAAGAACAGCATTAGGAAGCTATGAGTTAGCTCTGTGACTGTTTCAAAGTATCAACTGGACTTTACTGACCTTCCCCAAGTGCAGAGGTGGAAGTTTTTATTAGCAATAATAGACCATTTGACTCATTGGGTAGAAGCTGTTCCCACTGTCAGAACTACAGCTAATGTGGTATGTAAATCTTGGAACAAATTATTCCCAGGTATGGAATGCTTAATAGAATAGGCTCAGATAGAGGAACCCATTTCATGTCCAAAGTCTTACAGCAAATAACTCCAGCCTTGGGAATAAAATGAGAATTACACACCCCAGGGCATCCACAGAGTTTGGACTGGGTAGAAGGGATGAACCAGGCATTAAAGAGAAATTCCACCAAATTAATGATTGAAATCCAAATGTCATGGGTAAAATGTTCATCTTTGGCTCTATTGAGGGTCCAAACACAACCTAGATCAGGCCTAGGAGTGTCACCCTGTGAGATGATGTTCGGGTTACTCTTTCTGACTACCCAGCATGAAGCAGGGGAAATGAGTGTTTGAAAATGTGTCACAAGAATTGCAAAAATGCTTAAAAATTTGCGGTTGGAAGAGATAATCCCTCAAACCACACCTTTAGAATTTAAAATTCATAATATGCATCCACGGGAATGGGTACTAGTGAAAACATGGAAAGAACAATCTTTAACTTCATAATGGGAAGGTTCCTTTCAGGTACTACTGACAAGTGAGGCAGTGATCTGGACCAGGGAACAAAGATGGATTAATGCCAGCAGAATCAGAGGATCTGTGAAGGAACCTGAGGAATGGACTATAACATCTAAACTGAGTGATACCAAATTGACTCTCGAGTGGGAACTGGGTGGTAATGAACAGAGAGGACCCAAATGATCCAAGGAAAGTACAAAGAATCACACCTAATTGGGAAATAAGGCTAAGCTTATTTCAAGTGACACCTGGACAAGTTCTGAGACACCTCCTTGGGGAGGAATACTTCCATTTCAAACAGGAGGGTCACGACTGTTTCCATCAGAGAGTTTTCATATTCTGGCTTTAGCCTGTAACTTATACAAAGAAGAGAAGGAATTAGAACTTCCATCAGTGCCATACCATATACCCTGTTTGATTCATCCCAATACTGGACATGCCAGCTGGGTTAAATGTAAATGTTTAAATTGTGGGAAAAGTTGGTATTGTAGTTCGCAAAATTGACACTCTCGTTGCAGGAAGTGTCGAGCACCAAATTTATCCCGTATCCAGATTGAACTCAAACAACTGAAATAGTAACTTTGCTTTGTGGATGGGAATTATTAGTGCCTGTTGAATTGGAGATACCTGAGGAATGCTGAGAAACCACAGCTAAGGAGCGTCAAAAACAATTTGCCTGGAAATTAGTAAAAAGGAAGTGACAAGGGAAACAGAGGGCAAGCCTAGGTTGGCCACTGTACTCGCCACTGGGAAGATCGCACATACCTGCTATGGGTTGCAACCCCATAGGCATATCCCCATAGGTGGGGATATAAACCATACCAGACTTCTGTTATTCCTCTTTCTGTCATTCATTTCTTGTCTTTTCCCTTTCAGGATACTGGCAAGACTGTGCCACAAATGCGACAGAAAGTATTACATGGAAAGAAACCAAAGTTCCTTTTTTTGTTACACACACCCATGTCAACAGCCACTGTTACAACCCATCCAAATTAAGTACCTGCAGGCAAAATGGGGAAAAATATTGGATTACAAGGAACTTAGGAAAAAGTGGTAATAAATGGGGCATTGAATGTCCAAAAAGGTAGATATGGAGTTGTTTTACATTTGACCTTAGGGGTGTACTCCAAGATTCAGTAAAAGAACAATTAGTAAACAAAAAGGTAAAACCAGCACAGCAATGTAACTTTGTATTGGCCCCAAATTATATGCTGAATTGTATTATATAACTCCAAGCAGTTATAGAGATGATAACAAACAAAGCTGCTCAGGCGCTGGAATTAATATCAAGTCAGCAAAACCAAACTAAAACTGTGGTGTATCAGAATAGGTTGGCTTTAGACTATTTATTGGCTAAAGAACTGGGTGTTTGTGGAAAGTTGAATTTATCAGATTGTTGAAAATAGATTACAATGGGGATTTCATCCTGGAAATAGCAAAAGATATCAGAAAAATAACCCAGGTACCAGTCCAAAATTGGGAACCAATCTTAAAACCTAACTGGTGGGGTAATGTATTTGGGATAGGATGGTGGAAAAAATTAGGTTTCTTCCTTTTATGTGCTACAGCTGGTTTGATATTTCTTCCTTGTTTAATCCTGTTTTATTTGGCTAATTACCAGCATTGTCCAAAACATACATGTGGACAAGAAATATTGCTCAAGACAAATGATTTATAAAGATGTCTTGGTTCGACAAGAGAATAAGAGGGTGGTTTGTTATAGATATGTATTATAATATTGTCTTTTTGCCAATATTAAAATATATTCTATATGTGTTGTTTTAAAGTATCTTTGCTATAAAGGTACAGTTTTTATTTCTGTTGTTAACTAAAACTTATATAAAACTGATATAATATGCTTGTGTTACAATGCCTGCTTGGTTGGGATAACATCCAAGGAATATATGATGAAGACACCTGCTGCAGATATGCAAACTATCAACACTTGCCATCAATAGAAAGTGTGGACCAAGGCCCAAACTTGAAGGTTATATTAAAAATGGACTAAAAGCACAACCAAGGAATCCACATTATCCACATGCTCTAAGAACACAGAACCGAGGAGGAGCTATGCTAAACAGTTCTTGGAATTTGCAAACTAGATTTGGGAAAAGTTTACTATACATAATTGTTTATGAATATGGAACAGGTTGATGCAGTAGAAATGGTATCTAAAGGATGTTTCCAAAATAGCAGGGATGCTCTTGGCTGAGTGCCAAGACACTCCCAGCCATAAATATTTGATTTATTGTCTTTGTCTCCTGTTGTCCTGTATTAAACTTTTAAATTTTTACAGGAAGTTAAACCTTGTTTTTCACACAGGGACATCCTGGGGTCATGTGGGGGTGTCTGAACACAGGGCTCTGGGATATGCTGGAGGGCACCAGGGATGTTCCAAGGGGATAGGAGGGCAGAGGGGGACTGGAGGTCCTTCAGGAGCACCTGTGTGCCCAGGACTGCGCCGTGCCCTTGCCCCCCGGGACAGCCAGAGCCTCCCTGCCCAGGCAGTGGTCACTGGTGTGGGAATCCTTAAAATCAGAGGGTTTTGGGAAAGCTGCAAAAGGCAGGCCTCAGAGACAGCAGAACTGCAATTCAAGCTAAACAGTAGCCATAAGATTTGTCAGCAGAAAAATTATATAAGAAGTAGAAAAGTAAGGACAAATCAAACAATGGTCAGTGTATTAATGCTTGGGTAGAATAACTCCCTAAGTTCTAGAAAAGCATATCTAGCAAGGTATTAGGAAGTTTTAAGCTGAATAATGGAGGTCTGTGCATTGTATTTTAAGGCTTTCAAGCAGTTATTGTATTGGAAATAAACAGGCATTGTTTTAACCAAAGGTATGTGTGCTTATAGCAGTTGGATAGAATTATTGTCAATATGCTTTTGCTTTGTGTGATTGGTCAAAAAGCTTTTAAAGTATGTTGTAACATTAAGTTCTTTGTCTGCTGCCTGGGATGTGAGCTGCTGTCATCTTCGCATTTTCATAACCATGTAATGAGACTGATGCTGGAAAATAAACAGCTCGAGATGTGTTCCTCAGCAGTCCCATTTGTGATTTGTACATAGACCCACAGCTGGCAATAAATGGCCCTGTT